ACTAAACAATGGCTCCAGAATCTTGAGAGTTGACAATACCTACTCAAGAAAGAAGTGAACAAGTTACATCAACAGAAGAATGGTACTCTTACCCTACAAGGGACATGGACGCACTATCGATGTTTGAAGATAAAACCTCCACATCAAAATAAAGAGAAGAATTATTCCCCAACAGAGTCGCCAGAAATTGTTGACCGTTTTTTTAAATAAAATTTTTTATTTTAAATTTGATACATAATGTAGCTTTGATTTTGAAAATGGTATTCTTTATTTTTGGAATGTAACGAGACCGGGTGGAACTCATATATCTACTATTCAAGATAGTTGAACACGATTCCATAAATGATATATTTTCTTAAGAGATAAATGTATCACTTGTTACTAGGCTTAACTATTTAAACTTAAAAATTTATAACTCTATTTTGGTCTGCAAATTTTATAACCGACAAATCCCATATCTAATACACAGATTGGATAGGGTTTAGATTAATTTGGGTTCTTAAGTCCCTATAGAGGCAAGCCCCTATTGTTAATTACATCTCAGGCAACTAAGGTCACCTAAGAAAACTTTCGATTAAAATCGGGGTTTTGTTTTCAAGATTTCAATGTTTAGTTTTCTATGATTGCTTATTGGAAAATTTAAGTGAGATAGGTTTAAGTAGGAACAATTATTTTTGGAATACTAAGCAGCGAAAAATGTAAAGGGCCCCGAGAAAATAAAAAGAGTTTAGGACTTGTATCGTATGACATTCAATCGTAAGAAGTCATAATATGTAGTATGAGAATTTACGTTGTACGTATGGGTGCATGTTATTGAAGTTTATGGAAGTTTAGTTGAAGCTCCTCCTTCTGCTTTCTGTTGTCGTCTCAACTGCTGCCTTGTGATGAATCGTCACTTGACTGCATTGTCGTCTCGTTCCAAGAAGAGGGGAGAGAAGATAGAACATATGTTATTATTAGTTTATTGGGGTTTGAATACGTTATTTATGGTTTTGAAAAATGTTTTATTATGGAATTTTGAAAGGTGTTGAAATTAAAAGTGGTGTTTTGGTTATGTGTTATAGGATCCATTCCTATGTATGTGTTCTACATTTGCTACCTTTGATCAAAAAAGAAGCTATATGGTAAGTACAATAAAGAAAGGAAGGAACTGTGCAATAAAGTATATTAAAAGAAAAAAAAACTGTGTATTAAAGTACAATAAAGAAAGAAAAGAATTGTGCAATAAAGTACAGTAAATAAAGAAAGATTTGTGTAGTCAAGTACAATAAAGAAAAGGAAAGAGCAAGGCGTACCTGGTTGATTCTGTTGATGCTTCAAAACAAATTACAATTGTATAATACAAATGCATATGAAAAGAAAATGAGTTAGATAAACCTTTGCAACTTACATATGAAAGACTTATGCATGCATATTTTTCATAAAATTTAAGTGGTAAGCATATGAAAAATCAAAATAGGGTATAATAATTTAAATTGGGGATGGGCTCAGACTAGATACTTTATTTATCACAATCTCACAGGTAACTGAAGTATCGAAGTCTATATATCAATATCAATCAAAAGTCACCAGTAAATCATTCTAGAATCAGACAATTCTAATCCCTCTCACTTCATTAATGAGTTAACGTGTAAGTAGGATGCGAACTTTTAAACTAAAGGTGTAGTGTACATGTATGTAGTGTCTATTTCTAGTATCTGTTATTAGTTCACAAATTTCTTGAGAGGAGTTTAGAACTAACAGTGACTCAAAGTATGAAAAGAGCACCTTTAATTTATTATTGATTAAAAAATTTCAGCTATAAAGAAGAGCTGAGAGTGATTGTTGCATCATCGTCTTTAACCCGCATTTCTAGCTTATAGGGCAATCTGATATTCCATATGCATTTCAAAATTGCATAAAACCAAATCATATAATTTTAGATTTCGCATAATACCAAACCATAAATCTTCAAATTTTGCATAACAATAACCTCAAATTTTGACATCAGCTTGAGGACTTATATAGTTTCAGTGCAAGTATTTACATATACACCACCAAATTTATAGAGATTTAGTGGACGAAAGATGAAATTCAGGTGTTACAAACGTAAATTCAAAGAAATCAGATTTTTTATGTGTAAACACCCAGAAATTTAGTGGTATGAATGTAAAGATTAAGATTAGGTGTTAAATATGGAAATACATAAAAATTAAGTGGTACATATGTAAAGATCCTCACCCGAAAGAATTGAAATACTCTGGAAGGTGTATGAAAGTGAATGGAAGATTTGTAAATAGCTAGTTTCATGTAATTTGTATGTAGTTATCTCTAAAAGATATTAAATCCCAAAGATGAATGCAATTCATTGAAAATGAAATATTTACATGTATATCACTCAATTCCAATAGATTTACATGTCTAACATTTAAACTTTCAATTTCTTCTTACATACAAGCCACCATCAATACATTATACTCAATTCATCAGCATTTATCAATCGAGAGGCGTGGAAACAAGAAGAATCACTGAAATTCATAAGATTTAAAGTTTAACTTCAACATATTTACAAAGGCATCCACTAAATCGATCCATTACAAAGAGCACAATTTGTATATATCATATAACCAAAAATTAATTCCAACTGAAAATTAAATCTGTTCATATGCGAAAGAGATGGTAATTAGAAGGCTGGTTTTGTTTCAACATACCAAAACCATTAAACTACCAAGAGGGATTGAGCAAGGAAAGCAAGACTACAAGCAGAAAATTAAGCTAGCAAATGCATAAAATTTCCAACCACACCGCAATACCTTAAAGCACTAAGGTTTGAAAAGCCAAATTTTATAGTTGCAAAAGTATTAGAAAATAGGATTGAATGGCATATAGGTAAACATAAAGTATTATGAATTCTCAATTTCAGATTCTAGAAATTTCTGCACATATGCAATCATATTTGGATGTTAGAAAGGTAAATATATTGAATTTCGACAAACTTATACACTTATATTCAGATTTAAATGTTAGTTGTATAAGTGCATTAAATGTTTAGAATAATACATTCCTATTTCAATTTAAATGTTGTATAATATATTTAACTACGACAATTCTGTATGACTGGAAGTAAGCATTTGGGTATTAAATATACAGCTACTTCATACACTATACAATTCTAATAGCATTAAAATTCTTTCAGAACCACAAGATAAATTTGGCCTCAATTCAGTTGAGTCAAATACAAGTCGCAGTTTTAGGATATGTGTTCGAATAAAACCAACCCATCCTACTGTGGTCTAGTGCGAGGATAAGGCTCGTGATACCGCTGGATCTTCCAAAATTTCTCCTCTTCCTAAATTAAATTTTCAAAGCCCCCAATCGGGTGAACTTCACAGCTAAAACCACAATAACAAAGTGTGAAGCAATTAGTCCACTCTCAATTGTAAACTCTTTTTGTTTTCAGAAGCTTCATATTTTATTCGACAAGATTGAATGGAACCTAGGCTTCAATATGCATTCTGAATTATGAATCTTACTGGATTGTCGAAAATTGATGTTTCTTTAATTGATATCACTTCATATAAGTATGGTTGAATAAACATTTAATATCAAAAAAAAAAAACTTGGGAAATTATCCCTGCTTAATCCTACCAGTAAAGTTCCACACAAGAAGCCTCAAATTTTGTTTCAGGGGACAGTGTAGTACTCATATCAATCTTACTTATTGCACAACCATTATTACCAAAAGGGGAATTGACCCAATTGAAAAAACGTTTAAACCATACCAATTATTGCAGAAACAGGAATTCAATATCATAAATGAAGGAATGTACAATGAAGCTTAAACCTCCAATAATGATTTTGATCAAAGATGAATGAGATAGAGCAGTAAAGCCCTCAACATCAATTGGGATTAAGGTAAGAAAAAGATATGGAGGAAGAAGATTTACAAACATACCACCTAATTTGCATGTATTTACATACATACAACTTAATAACTTTGCCATTATAAGAAACCAATTAGGAGTTCTTCTCGAGTCATATGGAGTTGTCCTATGGCACCTTATATTAAAATTAATACGGATGGAAGCTGGATTTCCAATGCTGCGGGAGTTGGTGGAGTTTGTAAAAATTCTTTGGTTTTATAATCTGTTGGTTTATGGCAGCTTCTTTTTCTAATTCTCCTTTTGTGGCAAAGCCGGATGCAGTTGTTTTTGCTCTTCTAGTGGCTAAAACGTTTGGTTCGCAGCATCTTATAATTGAAACTGATTCTCTTATTCTTTGAAAATTTTGCAAGTTACATATCAAGCATCATTGGAGTATTAGTCATCAAATCAAACATATTTTGCATTTATCTAAACATTTGGATATTCAAGGGCTGCACGGCAAAAAGGAAGGTAATATGACATCAAATTGGGCTGCTAAAGCTGGTGCTCGTGGGAATTCTGTAGTTATTTCTTTTGTGGTACCTCATGCTCTCTCTCAACTGGCTATCTTGGATCTTATTTCTGAATTTGGTTGATCTTTGTTCCTTTTAATTTTGTTTGCGTTGAGTTGTTTTTTCTTTGGAGGTAGAGGATCCTTAGGTTTTTTTGATTTTTTGAGTGAATTGTATAGCGTGGGATGGATTCTCAGGACTCTTTTTTTTACTATTCTTTTTTGATGGAATAAAATGCAGAGCCAAGTAATGCTTTTTAACCAAAAAAAATGTATGTATGTATGTATGTATGTATGTATCTATCTATATATATATATAATTTTATAGCCAGTTCTTTTTGGATGTATAATTTCATCAAGCTTCACCTCTTATCAATATTGGATATGTAAATATCCTACTAAAAGTTCCCCTCAATGTTTAATGAATTAGAACAATATTATTAAATTTGTAATAAACTTTACTTTTTTATCTCTCCATCAATAATAATAACGAATTGTTTTATTTACTGGCAATATAGCTTCTAATTTGATAAACTAGTGGTCATGAAATTAATTTTGATAAATTTCTTGTAAAGAGGATGTTTGAGCTTGAAATGAAAATTTGATCTTTACATTTGATATGAGCAATATATTTATCATTTTGATTTAACATTGACTCATATTTCAATGTAATCCTTAACAATAATAACGGTGAAGATCTACAAAGAACTTGTTCATTGACCACTCAATGACACATAGGACACATGGCAAGTCCATTCTCATTGCACATCCCACACCTCTCCACCCCCTTCCCGTCCTCCGCCACAACCTTGCAGCTCCCGTTGCACTCCGTACAAGGCACGAACCTCGCCCCTCCGCATCCTTCGCAGACTCTCCTTCCCCCTTTTCCTCTTTCCCCTCCCATCCTTCTCGCTACCCACCTCATCATCTCCCCAAGCTTCCCAGTTTCGGCCAGCTCCACCACATCTTGAACCCCACCGACATACCTCCCTGCCACGAACAACCTCGGCACCACCACCCCCTCACCGACGAGCTCCCTCACTTGTTTCAAATAATCCCCGTGAAGCGAAACGTCGCGCTCGTCAACCTCCAACCCTGCCTCCACAGCATGCCCCTCCACCACCTGCCGCAGCCTCTCGCAATCCTCGAACGTCCGCCGGACTCCCCGTAGCGTTGTGGTATAAATCACAACTCCATCAGAGTTACCTGGCGGCCGTCTCTCCGGGTACCTCTCTAGCGGGTTCCGGATCTTCCACCGCCGAAGCTCTTCTGCCTCCTTCTTGCCCTCCCGCTCCTGTCGGTCCCGCACCACGAAGCTGTTCTCCTTTACTGATCGAAAACCCACGAGCTCTGGCGGCGGGTGGCGCGGGGGCGATATAGAGGCGTGACCGATGTTGCTAGGAAGAAGGGATGAGGGACGTATTTTAGCAGTGGCTTGTGCTGGCGGTAAGGTTTGGTGGAGGGACGGCTTGAGGTCTTCCAATGCCTTGCTGACTTCAGACCAGGGTTTGGGGGCGAGTTCAAAGGAGTCGAGCTTCTCAAGCAATGAGAGGGGCACGTGACCAGGCTTTGGCGGCTTGTCGTCAATGGGTTCGTGAACGGGGCCGGTGGTGAGGAGCCAGGGCTCTTCTATCTTGCTGATGTCGAAGAGGGCGATGCTACTTGGAGGCAGGTGGTAGACTTCGGCGGCCACCGCAGAGTCGAGCCGTTTTGAGTTTGCGCAGCCCATAGTGGAAGGGTGGAGCCGTTTTGAGTTTGCGCAGCCCATAGTGGAGCAAGTGCCAAGTGCGTCGTTAGCGGGTGACTAGCTAAGCTTTTGGCTGATAATTTATGCGGAGAGGAGAGGCAGACTTGTGGTTGAGATAGTAGGGGAAGAGAATATGAAGATTTTGAGTGGCCGTGAGTGAGACGTGGACAGGAAGTTCTATGTGGATCGCTTGTGCCATATCTTCTCTTGCAAAAAAATTTGTTGTTTTTTTGACGAGTAAGGTTATGGCTAAAATTTTTGAAGGTTAGCGTGAGGACTAGAGTCTGCCACGTGGTTGGCTGTGGAAGTATCATGGCAACTGCCTTATCAGATTGGTTCATTCTAGTCTTACAGTCTTACCGAAGAGGCTTGGCGCAGGGCAGTTCAGTTAAAGCATTTTATTATTGTATGCATTCGCACTGATCGGCTTATCCGGTATTGTGATCAAGGCAAAAACGATTGGTTATTGTGATTTTGCTGGCACCGAAATTTATCTAACAGCAATTTGGGAAAATTGTAGACTTTCTGATTTATAGAACCTATTGGGGTTGTCTGATAATGGATGAGAATAAATTCAGATTTATTAAATTTTAAAGGGATTAACTCTTAGAAAATGCCTTGCAATGAATTTATTAAATCCTATAAATTCTGTGATAGTATTTGGGAAGTCCTATCAGAATTTACAACAGTTGGTGTGAAAAAAGACAGTAGAGTGAACTAAAAAAACCCGGAACTTAAATCCTTAGCCCACGAACATGAATCTACCGGTTCGTATTAGGGCCGAAATCGGCGAAATCTGGATTTAACAAATACGCGGCTTTATTTTGTCCAAAATGGCTGTCTCACAGGATTTAACATACAACTCGCTTAAATCCCAGGATAAATCTGTTGCGTTTGAAAGTAGAGCTTAAAGATATCACTTAAAAAAGCTAAAGAATAAAGAAAATAATTTTATTTTTTAAAGTGTTATTTAAAGGTTTTGTTATAACTTTATCTCGCCTCGATGCAAATAATAATTAAATAAGTAAAAGAAAGAACACAAATTTTTTACGTGGAAAACTGAAGATGGGAAAAACTACAGCTAGAGAAGGAGAATTCGCAATATCAAATAAGTGGAGAAAAATTTACAAAAAAAGGAAAAAAAAAAGGATATTTAGAGTTTTAGTAAGATCCTTTTGAAGGAAATAATAAAAGAATGCCAATAAAGCAATAACAACTTGAAAGTTATTTAAAATTTATTGTGAGTTTGAATTAATGGTTGAAACATTCAATAACTTTGCTTATAGTTTCTTTCTAAAACCTCAATCTTTATAATCATAATATTCTTAAGAGCTGATAAGCGAGACCTACAAAATTCAGGTCACAAATTTTATAATCTCCATGTTGCCAGTGAAAATCTATATGTAAGATATTCTCATCTTGTCCAAAAAGATGACAATTATTAATTAAAGCTTTATTAAGTCTCAAAATCTATATGGCACAAGTGATACCTTCTCCTTTAAATGGAGGAGTTAATTACTTTAATGAAGTTCTCAAATTAATTTTCACTGATAATGACATCCTATTAGGGATAACCAATCATAATCTACCACTTTACATCTCTGTAAATGTTGGACAATTTCAATTGTCCAGAATTCTTGTTGACATGGGTGCATTTATCAACGTAATAAATTTGAGAACTCTCGCTTACCTTGATATTTATACTCATATGCTCTCATTCGATAAGATTTTATTACATGGATTCAATGAGAGAGGTGAAAGTGTTCTATGTTGCATAACCCTCTTACTCAAGATTGGAGATCTACAAGCTGAAGCAAAGTTTCACATCATTGATTCAAAGACTTGCATTCATGGTGCTTCTAGGAAACCTTGGCTTCACGAACATCGAATGGTACAAAATGCTTGCAAGATTGTATTGACTAATGCATCAAGGGTGACTTGTAACCATTTTCAATTCGTGAAGTAAAAATCTATGAAGGCGCAACATACTACATGCCGAAGAAATAAGTGAACTTTTCCAGAGAAATATCTGCAACTAGAGAATTAGAAAAGTATAAAGAAATAGATATCATAAAAGAAAAGAAATAAAAGAAAAAAACATCAAGAAAGAAATCATTAAATGACAATTGTTGATTAAGAAAAAGATGAAGAAGAAAAAGAAGAAGAGATGTCTTCAGATGAAAATAAAAAATCTGAAATAGTATTTCAACAATCTCGCACCATTCTAAACCTCTATGTAGGTGACAGAGGCACATGAAGATGCGGAGTAAATTTAGACAATGAACAAACATAAACTACAATACCTTCTTCACCAAAATTTAAGAATAGAACACCAATAGTGCATATTGATTTAAAGTCCAGCTTGGAGAATGTGCTATGCACTGTAGGTTGTTCTACTGCTTCGATGAAACTAAAAACCCCATGAAAGATCTCCTCTAAAGAAGACAATGAATAGGAAGGAAAAACAATTATTTCAAGTCAAGACAAGCTTTAATCATCCATGCACAAGAAGATCAAGCAATAATTTAGTACTTAGCTCTAATCCCATTATTCTCAGACATTGTGGCTAGGTTGGAAGTTAAAGTAGCACACCACTTGTGTTGTTATTGGAGTCAAATGTTTTATAGAGGGTCATCATCTTCAAAAATTGAAATGTTGTAAAATGTGAAGATGAAATATCAAATTAATTAAAAGAACTCCGCTGTGATTTTTATTTGTCTTTATTGACCTCATTTTCGGTGAGGTTTAAATTCTTCCATTAGATCTCAGGGTCTAGTGATGACTGATACGGCGGATTTTTGTGTGTTACTTTTATAAATATTTTTCAATATTACAAAATACACACAACGGTTATAAAAATAAATATGCAATGTAAACTAAATATTTTTCAATATTACAAAATACACACAATGGTTATAAAAATAAATATGCAATGTAAAATGATCCCTAAATACTGCTGATATGCAAAGTACAACAATAATTCAGATTATATTTCACTTATATTTTCTTACTTTGCAACAAAACCAAAAACTTGATCTTGAAGAAAAATAAGAATTTAACTTTTAATTTATATATGTTGGGATACTACGCAAGTATACGCATCGCTATCAAATAATATATGACTTTTTTTATTAAGACCTAAATATCGAATAAATATCGAACCCATAAGACCTAAATATCGAACCCATAGGGAATTTATACAATATGTACTTTTAGAAAACTTTCTATTTTTAAAAAGACAATTACTTAAACTGAATATATTTTTCAATAATAAAAATTCAAAAAAATTTGGTATTTTTGATATTTTAACAAAACACTAACAACATAAAAAGATAACTAGAGTTTTGTAGATGAAAATCACTTAATAAGAAAAATATATTTCTTCTTATCATGAATCAGTAATAAGTATATGAATTCTATTGTGGAAGTATGCAAATTTTGTTGTGCCAAATAGGAGCAATAATATTCTTTACCCTTACTAGAGTTGCTTAAAGAACATTGGCTAATTTAAAGTTTGACTAGTTCTGAAGGCCGGCTAGGCAAGGAAAATACTAGCTCTCACTTTAGAGTTAAAGCCCTCTAACTCTACACCCTTCAATGAATATTTCCCTATTTATTTGCACTCAATCATATGAACTACATTCTCATTCATACAACCTCATTTGATTCTTTCCAATTTTTGACTGAGATAATACTAGCCCGGTTCTTACATGTTTTCACAACAAATTTTAACATTTGGATTGACCAAATCAAGAAGTAAATGAATTGCATGGATTTAAATCATTACAACTTCTTCAAACATTAAAGATCAATACTCTCCACAATTTTCATCAAAAACTTAACTACTTATCATTTTAAGAAGAAAAATAAAGAAAACTGCTCAGAATCCATGGAAAAAATAAAACCACACTTTAGTTTAAAAATAGAAATCATTGTCAAACCAACAACAAGTCTCAATTAAAACCAAAAGTTGTCTCAAAGAAAAAAGATAAAAACTTATCTCAAGTTCTCCACCAAACTCTTGAAGTTCCTTTGAATCTCTTTTCTTTACAATCACTGAAACTAAACTAACAAAAAGGATAAAATGAAAGTATAAATGGTGCCTGAAAATCTCTCTAACTAACTTCCCAATTTAATCTCTCCAACTAACTCCCCAATTTGATGAATCTAACTTCCCAATTTGATGAATTTTCAAAACTTTCCAAGTATTTTTAGGACTCTTTTCAAAGTCCTATCTTCTTTCCTTTATAGTTTTCCAAGAGGTGAGTTGGAAACTCTTCAAAATGAGTCCCAATTTGATGTATTTCTCAAAGGAGCGCATCCTTTCGTGATAATTTTTGTCCATGGTGGTTATAACCACCTATTAAGCCAATCGGTGCCTCAAAAACCTCTTTAAAATTCGTAGAAACTAACTTTACTCATCTAATAACTACCACTGGCGCTGGCGCTTATTCGCGGGACCTCTGGTGCTTAGGTACGACCTTCTCTATTTAACCGGCGCTTAAGCGTCGGACTTGGCGCTTAAGCGCCAAAACTCATTTGCACAATTTTCACCTTTTTGCTCTAAATTTGATCCTTTTTCACTCCTTTAAGCATTTTTCTCCTTTTTTACTTGTATCTACAAGAAAAACACAAAAATACCTTCCTTTAAAGCGCAATAGCTCAAAAATAACTATAAAAATATGTCTAAAAGCACTATATATTTTAGGTGTATCAAATCCCCCAAACTTTAAATGTTACTTATCCTCAAGTGACACTTCAATCTTTAAAAACTACATATGTATGATATGTATATGGGTTTCTTTAGGAGTAAATAAAATTTAGATTTAGAAATATAGCAGTCTAGTTTAGAAAAAATATTCAGTAAATGAGACCAACTTAAAGTTTAGAAATTCTTAAAGTTAAGAAAGATGAAAATATGAGTTTCTATCTAATTCAGAAATGTATTGTAGATTTTTTTAATTTAGAATTTAGTTCTTTTATTATCTCCACTTAAAAATGTTCATTAAAAATAATTTTACTTACTATATTATATCTATAAGCTTAAGAGTTTCTCAAGTCTTATACTTTAAAATGATCAAATGTAGAACCAATTTTTTATTAGGCACTAATCCTCAAGCTTCTCCTTCCTAATTTTTT